AAGCGGACCTGACCTAGGGTGGATTTTATATTGGGTTTTAAATATTCGGAAGACGCAACATTAAAATTCGGTTTAATTCGGTTTTAAGGGGGGGATTGCATATATGTTAATGGTTTTAAATATGTTGTGCGCCGCCCTGAGTCCCTGTCGGGAGAAGGGCGGCATATAAATTAAATTAAATAAATAAATAAATAAATAATAAATAAATCATCCGCCATTTATTCAATGCCATTGTAACTTTGAACAGTCATTGAAGGAATGGTCATAAGTTGAGGACTAAGTGCTGCCCTCCTTAAACAAAGACCATGTGGGTGGTTAAGCAAGGATACATAAGACTGCAACTTCTGACTTCCTGATGGTTTTCCCATTGACTTTGTAGGAAGTTGACAGGGAAATTGCAATTGGAAATTGCAATCATGTGGCCATAGCTGACTGCAATGTCATAGTCATAACTGGACACCAAGCACCTGAATTGTGATCACATGACCAAGGATGCTGCAACAGCCAGAACTATAAGGACCCTTCATAAGCATCATTCATTTAGTGCCGGTATAATTTTTAATGGTTGTAACCCAAAGGCTACCTATAACAAGAACTCGATCTTGTTATTTTATTCTCCCTTATTTTATTTGACTACATTATTTTATTAAATGAAGAGAAATAATAGGTATTGTCAAGCCCCTATGCAAGATTAAGAAAAAAAACTGAACTGATTGAATAAGGTATCTTTAATATTAGTCTTGGGGTATCTTGGAAACCACAAGAAAATTTTTCATCCCTCATTTATAGTGAGACATTTGAATCTCTTTGAATGATTTGAAATGCTTCTTCTTAATCTTCTTGCTACTAGGGTTGTGTTTCCATTTATAAAATAAGCTGCTAACAAACTCCCCTTCTACCTTTTGATTATGTTTACCCTGCCTCCGTTACTTTTCCAGCCTCCCTACCATCTGACACAGCTGCAATACTAACAAAATGAACATTGCATAATAAACGCACAATAAATTTTCAAATTGCACCATAATCAGTATTGTTAGAGGATAGAAATACCTTTGGAGTACTTCCAGACAATGGTAGGAACAGGATAGCCTTCTGCAGAGCAGTTGAGGATCACAGCTTTTCCATAAATCCCATCTTGATCAATTGGCTGAACCACAAATCTGGGGGGAACTAAAAGAAAACAAAGAAAGTAGGATATAATCAGGTTATCACTTTAGCTATAATTAGACCATTTAACCATGATATTTTTTTTAATAATTTCTATTGATCCTCAATCCAAACATTGTTTGGCAAATGGTATTAGAAACACATTTGGCAACAAAAAGTCTGATAATAAGAACTGCCATACTTATTGGAATGCATTAATGTCCAAATTAAATAATATGCCCACACCTAATATGTCCAGAGGTCTTTGGTATGGCAAGGGAGGGAATCAATGGTGTTTATTATAATTAATTCTGTGGCTTCCTATTAAACGTTTTGTACAATGCTGTTTTTTTTTTTAATCTAAGAATGTTGCCTCCTGTTTGCAGCAATCAGTGCTCTGGTTTTCATCTCCATCTTTCTTTAGTTGGTTACCATAGATATAGCAAAAACATATAAATGTTTTACTTTAGAGCATTTAATTCTTCAGATCATAACATAGCTGTAGGACATAGCTGTAGTTGAGGTGTTAAAATACCAAGTTACTGTCTCAACAGAATTGCAAATTTTAAATAGTTGAATTTGCAGTATCCTTAAATACCCATATAGTGACTAATAAACCATAACGGCTTATGGTAGTTTTGTGTATAAATGCAGAAAACAATTTTCAAATGCTTTTATACATACAGGTTGATTCTTTAAAAAGAGAGCAAATTAATATCTTGAAGAGAGAATATGGTATGTTCTTGCTGAACTGATTTTCTGTCTCCACTGAAATCAGGGCAACAATTTTGGATGAACAGGAGGAAGATTGTTTATTTTTGCAATGCAGCTATTGCAAGAGTGCAATAAATTAATGGACCACGACTACCTTTTTATAAAGCTACCATTAGTAATTTGGATTACATGATCAAATTTATCATTGTCTTGGACAGAAGGGTTTCGTTACTCTCATTTTCTCTGGGGTTTTCTCTGAAAGATTAAAATGCGTATATGGTAAGTGATTCTATTTAGAATAAAATGTTTGTTTTTTGTTGTTGAAATACTAGTACCATGTATTGCAGTATTGCAAATCTAAATTAATAAAAGAAATTCCATTATTCAAAACAAGTTTTATAAAATGTTAGCACAAGTGAGATGTCACTTTCGCTGGTTTAAGAAAACTCTTTGTTATAAATTATTTGTCATGAGCCAGCTATAAGAAATTTGGCTAATCTCAAAAAGCTAACCAGATTTGGATTTGGTTTATATTAAAATATGAGACCACCAAGAAAAAAAATAGGACACTGGGTTTCCAAAGGCAGCAATGGGAAACTACTTCTTCAATGCTGCCAAAGATGACATGGATATAGCCAGGATGTCTTAAGCAAAACTTGTGGTGGCCACATGATGGAAGGAAAATTTCTGGCTGAGCTTTAGGGGCATGGAAAGTGCTTGAGAGGAGGCATGGGGTGGTTTTCTGTGCTTTCTTCTCAAACAAGCATTTTATACTTGTAGATTGCCTCTTAGATACAAATGTATATTTTCTTAGGACCATGCAGTTACCATACCATACACAATTTCTTTAAAGAGATATGTACATATGCAACATCTTATCTGCTCCAAGGCACTTCTTCAGCTTTGAATCTGAAGCACAGTACATCCCTATTAAACTTGAAGGACGCTCTTTGGGACAAACGGAATACCTCTGCTATTTCTTCCTCTTTGGAATGGATGCATTTTTTTTTCAGGAGGCATCATTCCAGTATATTTTATTTTCACAGAAACGTTTTTCAGCCATGTAACAAGCAAACCCTTGTAAATGTTGTGGTTTATCTGCAGCCTACTACCTAGTTCAACTATTGTTGCTTCACTTCCACTTCAAAATATTTTGCCTATAATTTAAGGTCAGAGTACTGTAAAAGACCACTTGACTATTTTGGATTTTTTAACAAGGGAAGGAGATGGCAATGGCACAAATATTAAAAAATCAGGGCAAATCTTATACCCAGATCAACAATGCTGTTTCCCTTCATCTTATCCTCCTCCTGTGACTCACTGACCAATCAGAACTGTTTTGGGAGCAAGGGGCCTTTGACACAGAATTGATGGCCTTCCAGAGCTGTGTCAACTATTTGCCATTGAGGTCTTTTGATTCATGTCCCACGTCAAAATGGCTTTAGAGAGCAGTGCCCAGCAAATAGTCATAGATTCATTAGCCAATGGGAACTTGAGCAGATCCCTACCCTTGACTGTGTTACTGCCAGCACTGCCATTAAGTCATTGTAGGTTGTCTTGGCAATATTTGTGTAAGGTGAAGCAGAAAAAATTCACTTTCAAACCAGAATAACTAGATATAACTCCTGGCAGTCTAAGTTACAGGCTGGAGATGACACAGAGGTGATGTCATGAGAACAATCTGCCTGATAAAGGTTATTTTTAACAACACTTCCCTGTTACACTTTGAGAAACCATTGATGTAACAGTTTTTTTAAAGAATGTAACTATTTACAAGCACTTTGGTTAGCCGTATCTTTCATAAATGTACACATTTTTGTTTAGCTCTTTGAAGGCAGAATGGAGTAGATATTAGTAAACTTACTTAATCCATCCTTTCCCTTCTTTACCACTACTAAGTCCATTTTAATGGACTCTAGTATTTTGCTCCCATTGGAATGTATCAGAAACTTCTCTTATTTCTAAAATATACATGTGAAAGAAGTTTATGCTCCATGAATATGGATTAGTCTGCATATTCTATTTCCCCTTTTACTGCATTTTGGGAATTTGGTTTCTAATAACAAATACATGAAATGGAATATTTCACAAGTTTATTTGAGTACTGCTGTTTAACTGTTTAACATCCTCAAGATTAAATGCTGTCAAGGTATTAATTTAATAGTTAAACAGCTTATATAATGATGTAATGTAATGTGAATGATGCAATGATAGGAATGACTCAGCAGAAGTCTGTGTCCCTTTAAGAGCCTGAGTATAACAGGGAAGGCTTTTGCTGGACTATCTCTCTCTCTCATCCGTTTCCGCTGTAACTGCTGTGTGTTAAGAGTTTGCTGTATTACCACATGTATGTATTTTGCTCCTAGTGTATATTGTAGATAGTGTAAGATAAACCACCATTTGATACAAACCACTGTTTACTATATTTACTCCTAGGTTATCTCAGCCCAATAAGACTGTGCATGCTGTGACAAATGCCAACTTAATTTTTACATGACACCTTTTCTTTACCTTTATAAGATATTCAGAACTGTTTGTCAGGCTAGCTCAGACTCAGCAGAACCTATTTGATGCATCATGGCTAGATAACAATTACTGTTGCATATTAATTGTAGATACCTCATTGTAAGAAATGTTTGCCTTTATCAATGTAAGTGCATAGTCCTGTCTTCTACTAATTGCAGTTTAAATCTGGTTCTTCTCTGATCTGATTTTTCCTCACAAATTTTTGGTTTTGTTGTTTGTCTGTTGGCATAAAAGACATCCTGCTTTGGGAAAATCTAACTCCCAATGTATCTTCTACACTCTGGAATACTTTTCACTGGACATTTAATTATTAGATAATGTAAAATACCCAAGAGGTACAATAGGAAAAGCTTATTTCCATTATACATGTTTTAAAAATAAACAATAGAGATAGCCTTATTCAAGTTATATTTCATTTATTTATGTAAAATAAATATGCTAAGCATTGTATTAATTTATTGATTCCAGCAATCTATATAGTGATCCCATGTCAACAGATTGCTTAGTTATTTCCCAAAAAAGCAGCAGTAGCCTAAGATAAATCTGGCATTGTTTATTACTTCCATCATTAGCTATGCTTTTTTCCAGTTGCATGCATGAATTTATTTATGCATGCATAAATAAATAATAAATAAATCTAGTACAAAACAAATAATTTGTTTAGATATTTTCTTCAAATACATCTTTCTCATAAAAAAGTCACAAAATTATTTTTGGACTCTTATGATTTTATAATACTATATTTGTATTTTAGTTAAACATTTTTCCCTATTATTTATTTTAATTATTTTTCAAACATTCTCATTTTTACAAAGCTTAAAATATTCCTTAATTAATCCACATCCTATATTAAACTAAATGTTTTTAAGACCTACATAGTAAGGTGTTATTTGAAATTTAGTTCAAAACATTTAAGAGTTACTTGAATGGGTAGTCCTCGACTCAGTCTCTAAGCAATATAATCATCAGTGAGTCATCATCTGATGGAACCCAATTTTACAATCTTTTTTGCTGCGGTTGTTAAGTGAATTCCCCATTGATTTTGTTTGCTGGAAGCTGGCTGTGAAGGTCACAATAGTGATCACGTGACCCTGGGACACTGCAACTGTTGTAAACACATGCCCATTGCCAGTTGCAATCCTGTGGCTGTGGGGATGCTGCAATGATCTTAAGTGTGAGAACCAGCCATACGTAACATTTTTCAGCCCCACTGTAACTTCAGGCAATTGCTAAATGAATGGTTATAAGTCAAGGACTCATACACTCCTGCCTTCTGGAATGGAATTCATTTCCATTGTGGAATTTTTTTTTAAGTAGAAATACTCAAGCAAATTCTGCTGCAATAGAGACAGCAACAATAAATGCATTCTATGGATAGCTATTGTCCTCAGAAGCTTCATAATCATCAGAATGTGACATTTACATAACTGTCCATGTACTGTATATTTGGGAAAGTTTTCTACAAATTAAGTCAGGGTTAAGTTGAATTTAAATAAAGCAAACATAGGAAAAGTTGCATAGAAAAACGTGTATTACAGATAGTCATGGAAGTTATTTATGTACAAAATGTGTATAACAACAATTGCATTTTTGTGGATTTGTTTCAAATAAATTATTAGTTAGGAAAAAAACAGAAGAGCAGGATAATACCTACTGACTGGTAGTGCTAGGAGCCTCTGTCTGGATGCACCTGGATTTGACTCACAGGCTGCCAGTTGAGAAACATCACCATAGCATACAGTGATAGGAGACACCTTCTTAGTAGCTGAACAACTGATATTGCCAAAACATAAGGCAAGACAGTAATAATTCTTTATTGTAGCAGAATTATACAGCTTGCTTATCAATTAACATAATTTGTTATTAAAAATGGACAGGCTCAAAGCTAAAATGCTATAAAAATAATCTAATCATATTTCAAATTCTTTCAACTCACTCTAAGATTTTCTGTATATTAAAACTTGCAGTTTCCAAGGGTAAAAACAGACATTTCCTGACCATTGATTGCATTCACTTGCAACATGTTCAGAAAAAGGAAATGTGCTATTATTACGGTGCATGTGAGAAGACAAAAGAGCAATTATTGTACACTCTAGTAGCATTTAGTTCCCATCACAACTGGTGTTTGATAATATTTTTGATGATATTATTGCCACCATTATATTTACCTCTAACAATTAATTGGCTTTGGTGCTCCACAGCTGCTGCATCATTTCTTGCTATACAGGTATAGTTTCCATTGTGCATAAGGGAAAGATTAGAAATCCGTAAGGAGCTGGTGAAGTCAATGTTGTCAATAGTCACCCCAAGACTGGCTGGAATTGGCCTACCGTCCTTCTGCCAGGTGATTGTAATAGGCAAGTCCCCTGAGACCACAACGCATGGAATGAAGACTCTCTGGCCAATAGAGAACCTTGGAAATTCAAAGGGCTGGATAAAAGGTGGCACTGGAAGAAAATGGAGCAAATATGTTGCTCAAAAAAGTGTGACTATAAAAATTATCAGAAGAAAATATTTCATCTGCAAGGCAACTAGCATGCATTAGGTGAAGCTATAACAAATAATTATTAATTGTCAAATCTTTACCAATAAAGTGCTGGTGTAGGAGCTGGCAATGGAGGAACCATAAATTCTCAGGCTAGACAGGTCTTTTGTATAAACACATCTCATCTGCCAAAGACCTTTAAACAAACTAGCAAGAAGCTTACCTCAGAAAGGAAAAAGGCAACACTTTGAGCTCTCTACTCTGTTAAGGCTTCTTCTATTTTTTTTTATTTTTGCCTGCAATAAAAAATTCTAATCTAGCGGATCTGGGTCTGAGGGGTTTCTGCCCTATTAAGCTAATTGTTGAATAAGGGGTTCTGTGCCCTGAGTCCTGCGGGAGAAGGGCGGTATATAAATTAAATTATTATTATTATTATTATTAAGTGCAAAGTGTTAACTTTTTTGAGTCAAGATTTCAGTTAGGACATTTAGTGATTGATAAGTATGAAGGGCACTGTCTAGAAAAAGTTGATTAAAAATCAAGTATAAATCATAGGTAGATTTTCAGAATTGTTCACAACATAGCATGAATACAAGCTTTAGCGATTATTTTTGAGGTCAGAATTTCTACAACTGGCCAAGCAGGTCCTAAGACCCTTTGACAGTAAGACTTGCTGCACAGCAGTTATCTGTATGATGTGATAGCAGTAGCTCTTATGGCTGGTACTTTTCAAAGCTCTCATGACTGAAAATTCTTGCTGGAGATGGCATGCAAACTAACATCTCCATTATATTTGTTTTTGACAGACAACTACAGTATGGGAAACCAATGAAGGAGGCTTTCAGGACTTATAGCGGAGGTCATCATGCAATATCTAGAAGCCATAGCACTTCCACAAATACAACCGAAAATATGGATCAGATATGTAGACAACACCTTCACGATAATAAAAAGGACCAATTAGAGAACACCCAAAGAACCATCAACAACATGTTTAAAGGAATCCAGTTTACTAGAGAAGCAGAAAACAACAACTCACTACCCTTCCTGGACATGCTGATCAGCAAAGACCACAATGGCAAACTAGAAATGCAAGTCTACGGAAAAACCACCCATACTAACCAAGTGCTCCACTACCAAAGCAACAACCCAACCTCCCACAAGACAAGCTATATAAGGACTTTATTTAAACAAGCCCAAAGATATTGCAGCAACCCAGAACAGTAGAAAAAGGAAATAGAGCATCTATACAACACATTCCAACAAAATGGGTACCCAGAAACCGCAAATAGACTACTCCAACCACATGGAATCAGCATAGCACACAAGCCAACTAAAGTCCTTCAAAACATCCTAAGCAAACCAAAGACTCAGCTACCCCAGAAGAAAAAACAGGAGTCATTTAACAAACTGTGTAAGAACTGCAAAAACCACTTTGTAGGACAAACAGGCAGAAGACTGGCAGAACGTATACATGAACACCAACTGGCAGTTAAAAGGCACGATGAAAATTCTTTAATTTCACAACATATACACAAATTGAACCATAGTTTTTATTAGGAAAAAGTGATAATCCTAGACCAGGCCAAATCCAAAAAATAGCAGGGAATTTCTAGAAGCCTGGCAGTCTGACAAATCAGCCATCAATAGACGCATAGACCTTAACAACATCTATAGACTATGCAAAAGAGACAATCAACTAGTCCCAAAGAGAAAAAGACTCCAGCACCTTTCCACCAGTAACCCACACTCAGATCAGTATAGATTAGCTCCAAGGTCAATTTCAGACCAACAATAAAGTTCATAGAGATATACATTCAAATTCCTGTAAGCTAGACCATAATCTATGATAGATGCTTATCACCTTCATTCTCAATTTCACAAGCATTTTTAAATTACATGCATGTTTTACCTTTTACTGTCACGTGTACACTCTGGCTAGTGGACAGTTGGGGCTGAACCAAAACATTGCATGTGTATTCCCCCTCATCCACCTCCTTCTGCACATCTGAGAGCTTCAGTGTTCCATTGTTTTCAAATGCTACTTGACGATGATTAAAAGGGAGCAGATTAGAATTCTTGTACCACTTGATTGAGTAATAAGGGTAACCAATGACACGACAGTGAATGAAGGTATCCCGCCCTGCTATTGCTGTAATATTTTTCATTGGCCGAATGCTGGCTGGTCCTGTAAAGATAAAAGCAAGCTCTTGAAAATAATTTAGAGGTATAATTAGTTAAGAAAATATTGTTTTCTTTTAAATATATAATTCTTTTAGATCCTGAAAACTGCAGCTTACTGCAGTTCCTTCCTAACTTTTAACTTCACAGAGCAACATAAGGGGTTCTTCCTACTTGTTTTACACTTTTCAATTTTTCTAATCCTACAATAGCCATATTAATTAATTAATCAAACTACACATTTGGATCACTAAACCATTATGATAAAAATCTGTGTTGAATTACAAATTAAAAGCTAGTGAAATTTTAGTTAATGCCAAATAAGACAAGACAGAAAGAAACAGTAGCCTGATATTTCTAAAATTAGGGTGAATAGTTACTGTTTCTAACCTTTTATATTCCAGAGGTTTCGGTTGAAAATTTATTTCACCCTCAGTCAGCAGTTCAATGGGTGTATGTATTCTAAGGGAAGAGGTGTGCTCTGATACATCTGTCAGGATGAGGACTGAATTACAGATATAAGCTGCAATATTCTAAACTTGGATACTTACAATGAATGTTACGTTTTTAAAAGAAAAAAACTCATGCAAGCAAAACAAGTTCTATAGTAAGTTAAAAATAGCTGAATTGATTAGTATGTATAACATACATTCATAGCATTTGCTGTGCTTATTTTGTATAATGGGCTGTCAGTGCAATCTGATACACATTTACTCAGAAGTAAGCCCTATCAATGATGCTTACTCTGAAGAAGCTGTCCTTAGTATTATAGTCTTATACCATTATTCCTACATGGGAAAAATAGAGATAGCATTGGACAAAAAATCTTAGCATTCCACAGCAAAGTTCATATACTGTATGCATTTATATTTCATTTTACTATAATGAGGTTTATTTTTTTTATTTTATTTTTTTGAGAAGCTGATTTGACAAGCACCTCTTACGTTTATTCGAGCCTGGTAGAGGACGACTCCAGCTGAGTTGTTGGCAGTACAACGATATACTCCGCCATCTCGGACCTGAGTACTGGAGATGTTTAGGTAGCTGACCACATTCCCCTCAGAGGTGATGATCTGACTAATACGGTGGCTCCCATCTTTAATTATGGGATTTTCATCCAAAGTCCACGTGATTGTAGGAAGGGGAGTTCCCTTTACATTGCACATCAAAGATACACCTTCTCCGGGGCTTACCACTTTCTCACTGAAGGCTGAAATTATTTTAGGAGTTCCATCTGTAGAAGGAAAGGTATCTAAGTTAAAAACAGAAGATACATGAGACAGTTTACCACAAAAGGGTAAATCTCTTTAGCTCCTTTGTTTTTTTTAAAAAAAGAAGCCAAATAAATACTGGTTTCAAAAAGTAGCACAATTAGTTTTCATTTTGACCCATATTTATTGCTTGAAAAAATCACTTATGTTTTTCCCCTTGCCATTTTATATTAATATTATTGCTTTCAGTCAATTAGGCTAATTATAAATTTATTCTGGGTTACAGTAGAGGTTAATCCAGTGAAATAAACTAGGAAGGGAACAGAGGTGACTTATTTAATGTACCAAAGTTAACTTAGCAAAATTTAACAAAAGTAGAACACAGTATATCCTGTCTCAACCCATGCACAAGATCTTACAGAAGTTATCACATGTCTATAAATCATATACATAAATATATAACTGTGGCAGTTTCTTTATCTCAACTATTTCATTAAACTCCTCATTAGGAGACTGTGAGTGACAAGTGCTTTTAGTCCTAACATTAAATGTGTGTGTATGCACGTGTATTTAGCAGACCGTTTTCCTACAAGAAATACGTATTTAACAGAATGTCTGGGAAGAACAGGAAGAAGGGGCAAGACCAGAAACTTCAGATTGGTAGAAATATGTCCAGAGAATATTCTTTACTCTGAATGAGTTTACTCTGAATGAGTTTAACTATGCGCCTCGGCATAGTCAGCTGATTCCATCGCTGACTATAGGGGGCGAAACTTTGGCCCCCTCAGATCGGGTCCGCAACTTGGGTGTTCTCCTGGATTCACGGCTGACATTGGACGACCAGTTGTCGGCCGTGACCAGGGGAGCATTTTATCAGGTTCGCCTGATTCGCCAGTTGCGGCCGTTTCTGGACCGGGACGCCC